ACCCACCTGCACCTGAACTGGAATGGGGGGGCTGTGTGCCCCAGACCCACCTACACCTGAACTGGAATGGGAGGGCATATGGTGTCAGCCAAGGGCCTCCAGGTCGGCTCACCCACACTCCCACCCACCCCACTGCCTAACCCCCAGCCATCCTGTGAGCCTTTGGAGCTCAGTACAAAGTGGGTCTCAAAAGTCAAGACCGAAAACTTTTTATTAGAAATCTAAGGGAAAGTGAGCAGGGAAGAGGGAGCCTTGAGAAAGGAGATTTCACCATCCAGCTCCTTCGTGAGAGCCCTGGCGGGGAGCTATCTCCACTCCTCCCACTCCTCCCCTGGTCAGCCTGCAGGGATTAAGCCCCTGCTGTATACAGTGCTGTCCTCCGTTCCAGCTGCGCTGTGCCCACGTGGTGGGTGGAGGGAGGCCGAGTGCTCCGGGGCCCAGGGGCCTCACGCCCAGGAGTGGGAGCAGCGGGCCGAGGGGTGAGGAGAGGGCCCGGAGTCCCACAGGATCCCACCTCCCTTGCAGCGCTGCTGGGCAAGCAGCTGGCCTGTGGGAGCAGGGCCCCGATCTCCTGGGACTCCAGGAATGAAAGGAGATGGCGTCTGGGAGGTGCTTAGTGTCCAAAAAACACTCAACAAATAAAAGCCATCGTAGCAGAAGAAGAGGCCATGGACTTTGGGCAGAGGAAATGGTGGGGGGTCAGAAAACAGGTAGAGCGAGACCTGGAGGGAAGAGAGAGGCCACCACGGGGCAGCAGAGACCAGAGCGAAGTGAAGGTCTCCCCAGGGGAGTCCGGGGAAGGGGTAGAGGCAGCGCCCGGGACACATGGGCCTCCGAGGCCGGATGGGCCGGCCCGTCTATAAGCGGAAAAGAGGAGCTGGCTGGCGAGTGTGACTGTGCCTCTCCGCGCGGCGTCTGTCATGGTGCCCAGTGGGCCGCTGGCAGGGGTGCGAAATGGCCTGACAAAGGGCTCCAGGCGGCAGGGTCTGCTCGGGGAAGACGGTGCCTTCCATCTGCTTTTGCTACGGACGGGCGGCTGGGTGGGGGTGGGGGGGGTCTCATTCCCCCTGAGAAAAGGGGTTCCGCTCTAGAGCTGGGCCGGTCGGAAGGAGGATGGGTCCCAGGCTGAGATCCAAAGTTCTGGGCGAAGGACGAGCATGTCTGTCACCTGGCTCTCTCAGCGGATCGGCTCAGCCAGTCGTGACCCCTGCACACGGCAGCTCAGGGAAACGCCTGGTGCGTTAAAAGCGGGTCCTCTTTAATAGGTTTTTGTGTCTGTCTTCCTTTCCCTCTCAATCCTGCGAAGCAGGCAGGACTGCTAGGATCAACCCCATTAAAAAGCGAGGAAGCTGAGGCTCACAGAGGCAGAGCAACAGATGAGAGCGTGAGCCGGGACTCCAAACTGGACCCGAGGGGACCCTGCAGCCCCCTTGCAGGTAGGTGGGTGTCTTGTTGAGGG